GGAGCCGGGGCGCCCCCAGCGCGCTGTCACCCAGCCGCTGGTCAGTTTCAGCAGCAGCTGACTTGGGGACACCTGAGGCAGAGAAGCTGGGGTGCTGTCGGGTTGGTCCAGTAGCGACGAGGAGCGGCGCTGCAGGACCAACCCGGCAGCACCTCAGCTGTTCTGCCCCAGGCGTCCCCAAGAGAAGCTGGGGTGCTGCCAGGTTGCTCTCGCCGCGCCAACTGAAACTGACCACTGAAACTGACCAGCAGCGGCTGAATCAGGGATGCCTGGGGCAGAGCTGGACTATCGGAAGGGGGGTGGCTATGAGGGGTCTGGGGTGGCATCCCCCCCCACCCCAGGCCCCTCATAGCCCTCTCTTCCGGTAATCTGGCAAATCTGATAATCCGGCACCCCCTGGATCCTAAAGGTGCCGGATTTTTGGAAGTTTACTGTATAACTGACCTAGCCCCCTCCTTTTCCTCTTGGTGTACATAGAGCTATGTCAGTGGGAAGGCATCCCCTGTGTACCTAGCTACCGCTTCTTGCAGAGGTGGAAGTACCTATGTCCACAGGAGGTGTGTACTTTGTAACCTTGTTTTGTATGTTTGCTAAGGCAATAGTGAAAGTTTTCTTCATTTAAGTTCAAGAAGAGATGTTAACAGTATATTCAAGGCATATTTGACATTTACACATTTTAAACCAGTAAAGATATCTAGACAATGCCAATCCTGCCAACATTTCTATATTAGCTTACATTTACTCATGTAAATAGACACATTTACTTCAGTGGTACTGTTCATGTGTGTGTTTGCATAATAGCCAAGTGTGCAAGAGATAGATAACCAGTCAGCTGGAATTGTAATAAAAATTAACTACTTTCACCTGAGCAATCAAGCTGCCTGCATTTTAAGTTTTGTTTGCAGCATTAGTGTAGTTGTACATTTTCCAGACCTGAAGAAGAGCTTGTGGTGTGCTCCAAAGCTTCTCTCTCACAAATGAATAAAAGAGATCTCACTGACTATGTCTGTGTATTATTTAATTTGCAAGAGAACCTGCTTTTAGTTTAATTATAAGCAATTCACTGCTCTCATTCAATTTTTGTTTTCCTCCAGGCTCATCACACAGTATGGCGCAGACTGCTGGAAAGGTCTCAGAGACTGGTAAGTAGAACTAGCAGCTAAATACACAGCTTTATTCACTTTAAAATAAAAGATAGAATAGTATCACATTGTAGAAGTTAAATAATCATAGTTGGAAGATTCCTACAATAACCTCTCTCTATATTAAAAAACCCTTTTCCTATGGGACAACAGAGTGATGTCAGCATGTCACTCTGTGTTCCACAGGCAAATTTTTTGTCCTGCTGCCCCTCAGCCTCGTCACTCCCCACCCCCCGGTGGCAGAAGGGAGATACTAGAGAAACTGGTGGATCCTCTCCCCTGTCCGGGGTGAGTGGCTCCAGGCCAGCCAGCCCCAGCAGCACCAAGGAGAAGCACTCCTTCAGCAAGCCTGGCCAATAAGGCCCCAATCGGGGCCCAGCCCCTATCTGGCCACAGCATCCTGTCCCTGGCCCCAATCCTGGGGCAAGTCCTGTGGTCCAGCCCCCATCTGGTCACAAAAAGGGCTGGTGATGGCCCCCTTCCTGCTGTGGCACAGGTAGAAAGAGAGGCCATGATCTGGCTGCAGTACACAGAGGGGGGGTTGGCGAGCATAGTGAACAGGCAGTGCAGCCCCCTAGTATTTATTTAAAAGAAGGAATCCAAGCCAAATCTTAAGAAAAATTGAATGCAGCATTAGCGTATAAAAAGAAATGAATACTCCAATTGTTTGTATAATATGAAAAGTGTTCGTATTTTGTGGAAGCCTGAGCTGAATTACAAACAGATCAGGGAACTTAGATGGTGTATGTGATTGATACCTATGTAGTAAAATTGCAAATATGAATTTGTAAACAAAAATAGCCTCTTTGTAAACTCATGAAGTAACTTTAAAGTATGGACATTTTCCAAAATATTCAAAAGCTGAGGAAAATATGTTAGCGTCTTTGTGTTTTAATTTTTCTTTGAGTTGAAGGTTATATGTGGAATCTAAAAAGAAGATTTAGCATAAAGTGGAAATGCAACTAAACTTTTAAAAAAAGCAATGTAATGTCTCTAAATGTAGACAGTAGGGATGTGAATGGGTAACCAGTTAAACTGTTGCCGTGATGCTTACCGGTTATCTGGAAGTTGGCAGCCTTGTGTGTGGGGTGGTAGTGGCCCAGGGTTAAAGCGGCAGCAGGAGGATGTGTGGGGGGAGGAGGAGTGCCATGTGGTCTGAGAGCTTCCTCTCCCTCCCTTTTGTGTGAGGCTGCCAGTTTCCAGCCCATATGAGCTGGGAGCCAGCAGTCTTGTGGGGGCTGGAGCAGTCCGTTCTCATGGTGCAGGTGGCGGGTTTAGGAGGCGGGGTGTCCCCGCCTGCCTCTGATCAGTTAACCAGTCAAACTTAACATTTAACAGGTTAACTAATTAAACAGGATTTTACATCCCTAGTATGTAGTCATCAACATTTAAAACAAATAGGAGGACCTTTATGCCCCATGTAAAACAGAAAACAAGTGATTCAATTTTTACAATAGTACCTAAGGAAAAAGATTGCCACATAGGAGTACACCAGTGTTCCCTGTAAGCTGTGTGCTTGTGTGGCCATGCAGGAGAAATTCAAATGCCTCCCAGCTGATTAGCAGAGGTTCCACAGCTGGGTTTGTGTTGCTATTGGTGGTGCACATTCATACATGTTTTGGTGCACATAAGTTATTCCGCACATGGATGAAAAAAATTAGAAGGATTATTGGCTTACTTAGAAGCTAATGGAAGGTAAAAGGGAAAATGGCTGCATTAAATTAAATGTGACGGCAACTGGAAATAACGTTAAACATTAAAATGTACTTGGTATAAGGAAAGGAAGAGTGTTACAGGAAACTTTCTGGAGGATATGGTTGGAAAGTAATAGTGAAGCCAGGGAAGTATTGGGGACTGAATAAATGTGGAAGACATTTTAATATGTTCATAGAATTAAGGAAGTGGAAACCCACCATCACATCTAGACATAAGTAAACTTGGGGAAACTTGGTAAAGATTAAATAGTATTTTTTTCAGACTTTTAGCACTCCAAAACTAATATTCAGTTTGTTGTTTGAATACCAGTAGAAAGTAAAAGTGTATCACATCTGTACCCTAGTCCACTAATTAAGAAACATGCTCAAAACTAAAACAATAGTACCTTCAAACCCTGTTTGTCTGAGCCTCCATATTAATTGGAAAACCACTGTACACAGGTCCAGAAGAAAATGATCTCGCTTATGGCTGCTAGATGCTGCCACAGCATTGCACTTTCCCGTTCTCCAGTTTATCTAGATTTTTGATTATTTGATCTGGCTAGAGTCCCAATTATAGTAGATAAACAGGGTTCCGCTGGCATTTATTTATAAACCAGTTGGAAAATATTTGTAATTCATATTTAATTGTAAAGGCAACAGTACTTCTTGCTATACTCTATCCTTACTCAAATATAATACTACAGAACGGGAGAGTGTATATGATCTGATCAGAGAATGAAACTACCCTTAAATATCCTAAATACTGATGTTTTGCAGGTCACTGAAGACTGCAGCCCGAAAGCAAAAGATGTAATTCTGGAAGCAAAAATGGCATCAAAGTAATTATTAATTTCATGTGTAAATTAACAAAATAAAAATATTTTGGACATGTGTTGTGTGTTTATGTGTAACGATAAAATGCCAAGGTCCAGTCCTGATTGCTAACTCAGTTGACTTCAACAAAGTGAAATCAGAGATAAATTTGAGGCTAATTTCTCAATTGACTTATTGGATTTTCTACATTTGTTAAAACTATAGTTAGAGCTGAACTAAAGTTTGAGATGACTGAGAAATGAATGTTTCATGTGTGGTAACAGCCAACTCATTCATAGTATTTTCATAATCCCAGACTTTAATCGATTTTTCTTCTGTGAGTAAAACACTTTTTAAAAACAGCAAGAAGTCCTGTGGCACTTTAAAGACTAACGGATTTATTTGGGCATAATCTTAGTATATGAAAACTTATTCTCAAATAAATCTGTGAGGGTATGTCTACACTTGCACCCTCTTTTGAGAGAGGGATGCAAATGAAGACATTCAAAATTGCAAATGAAGCCGGGATTTAAATATCCCGTGTTTTATTTGCATATTCACGTTATGGCGCTATATTGAAATAGTGCTATTTTGAAATACAAAATGCGGTGTAGATGCGGTTATCTTCCAAAATAACTGTTAAATCTCATTTTTTGAGGACTAATTGTTATTTTGGAAGAAGGGTGTTCTTCTGAAATAACTGCATCTACACCGCATTTTGTATTTGGAAATACAGGCAGTCCCCGAGTTATGTGGATCCGACTTATGTCGGATCCGCACTTACGAACGGGACCCTCTCCCTGGTCTCCAGCAGACCAGGGAGAGGAAGCAAAGCGGCCAGGGGGACTTTGCAGACCAGGGGGACGGGGAGCAAAGCAGAGCACAGCCGCGGAGCATGCGGGCAGCAGGAGCCCA